CTTGGTGGATTGGATATATTAATAATGCTTCAATTTGTTGACCATCAAGTGGCAATTGAATGAATGACAAGTTACGTATATCATCAATAATTATAGTATAGCGAGAATTTAATGACTTGTTTTCGATATTTATCTGGATTATTGGCAAGTGATTTGATGTGCAATTACCCGTCCCAACAGCCATATTTGTAGCCTCTGTGACAAAATACTTAAATTACAAAAGTAAAACTGAGGTACTTAAGTACTGAACTATACTAAATGGCGTATTTGAACCTGTTGGTCTTAATCTGCGTCAAGATAGAGGATTTGTAGTTGCTGTTGTTACAGCAGTGACTGGATGGAAACGGTTTTCAAGCGTAGAGCATATTTGAGAGATGAACATGCAAGTATTACGTCAGATATCTGGCTCCAGTTCCTGTTGGTATCTCTTGCTGGCACTATCATTCAGCAAGTGTAACAGGAGACCATCTATTATCTTCCCTTGAGTAGTGTTTCTTAGGGACCATTCCCACAGATATTTGGATCGATTTATCTCCACAGGGAGTCTCACTAAATTGCTATCTGCTATCGGCACAGCCGAGCATGCAAGAAAGATAATTACCCCCTAGCTGATTGGGTAGGCGTGACAGACGTTTAAGCCTCTTCAGCTGATAGCAATTTAGCGTGAACCTCCAGGGAATTGGGTCGATCCAGTTGGATTGATTTAGGCATGGGAACCCAGTCTAATACATAAAGTTATGGTTGGCTTGTGCAGACATGTATATATATATTCCCAGTCTGTTTTTTATGACAGGAACAATTTGTTCATCCCTGAGAGCACTCGAGGAGTTCTGGTGATACCATAGAGACTATTGGCAGTGAAACTTCTCTCATACCCTTTGATAAGGAATTTTGAATCACAACCAATGGTCTGAGTTGAGTAAGGAAATTTGTACCAGGATATTGCCTCTGCGTCAAAGATATAGATTAATAGTAGGGATAGGCAAGGGATGACTTCAAACTGAGGCCAACGTAATTTATAAAGTTCTGGATGATGTGGTGTGTTCTGCTGCTGCTGCTAAGGTCGAAAGAACTTTCACAGTGTAATCCGTCCTTCGTGACTGGATGAGTTCACCGAACTTTGTCTCTGTCGAGTAATCTTGGTTTCTGTAGTTTGCTTTTCTCAGTGTTTCTACATCTCCTTTGTCATGTTTTGAATCACAGATAAGGGGTTACAACTGGTGAAGTCGAGTTTGTCTGATCAGATTATCAATTAATTAATCATTTGATTTGTAATTGATTGATTGATTGATTGATTGATTGGTTACAGTGGGACTTACATATGATTCAGTGAAGTAATACATTGGAGATAAGAATCATTTTTCAATGCAGCTACTATGTTAAGCATACATACTAAGAGGTGAATGGAGTTTTCTGTATATTTAATGTCATGGTAATGGTGGTCGATATGCTAATCAATTATTAAATCCTTGTTATAAATATCAATAGGAAAATTGAATCTTTTCTGTCATGCCAAAGATGGAAAGTAGGAGCCTTATGTAGACTGTATATTACTGGCATTTGAAAGGCTATTGGCATGTGTGATGATTAATAATAAATCAGTGTTTGTTGTAGATGGATTGAAGGAAGGCAGCTTGTATTTCGAGGCGTTGAATTACCGGGTATCACAGAGTGTCGAAGAGTCGTTAAAACGTAAAACAGATCCAGTGTTCATCACAGACTGTGTATGGCATTTACATTACAAGGATACAGCATCGGATACGTTTTTTTTACTGAAGGGTTGAACAGATGAGTAGGGAAGTACTGCCTTTTAGGTCAAGGTCATCAGATCTGGATTGGCTATTCTTTAACTTTCAGCTTTATTTCTGTTGTATCAGTTGGAAGTACTGCCAGGCACATATGCTTTCTACTAGCAGTTGATTAATTGAGATATTCCCACAGTATTGTAAGAGTTGTGAAGAGGATGGGTTGGAACTTCTCAGTTGAATCTTTATCTAGAAATAGATATATGGATTTATATGAAGTGAAATAAGATATGCCATTGATGTATTGAGAAGGGGGTGAAATAAAAAACTGAAAAAAGAAGCATTGGAAACTAATTTACATTTTATGCTAAATGTGCTAAAAATAAAATTAAAAAAAATATTTAATTAACGACACAAAAGGAGAGCACTTGCTAATTTAATTGCAATCATCATTTAGATTTAATTTACTGAAAAGACAAATTGTCTGGTCCAAATGCAGATGTGCTTCAGGAATTCTATTACTTGAAGACAGTTTCTCCAGAGGCAGAGTAGTTGATATGAGAAAAATGCTTGGTGTGGTTCAATATTGTACAGTAGCTTTGGAGCAACTCGCAGTGGTAGCTTTTTTCATTGAAGGGATTCTTTTCTTGTAAAGATTGCAAAAGTGGTTAAAAATAGAGTATGGATTTTGTTCACTTTCTTTACATCATCTTGTTATAGAGTTGAAGTCATCTCATGTTAAAAAATGGGAACGTGTTCACAAGGAACATGTGGTCTTCATCGTCAAGAGCAACATTACAACATTGTTATGCAGAACCAGCATAAAGACGGTTTTCATGTAGCAAAGTATTAAAACTGATGCATATGACTTAAAAATTTGGAATAGTTTATCAAGAACTTTTGGCCATTCCGCATGGCCTTGATCATTTGGACTAGACAGTTTTCCCTTTGCTCAACAATTGATTAGTTGAAATTACAATATGGTACCAGGGAACTTTTGTCAGAATATGATGTCATGGTTTAACTGTGATATCATAACAACATGTAGCAGCAACTGCAGTAGCAAAGATAATAACAATAACTACAACATCTGATAGCAAAAACAAGGGTGGAGTTACCAGTTACAACAATTTGTTCTGTGATCAAAAGAGAACCATTATGCCATGAGTGTCAGGGAGAACATTATTAGTCCAGCAAAATATTTCATCAGCTGCGTCATGTGTGTTAAGTTACAGCAGTAGCTGTCATTGCCTAACGAAGGTGTCATATGAGACATTGAACTATTGGAGTGGTAGTAACTCTTGAATTTAGCTGTTGTACAAAGCCATGTTATAGTATTTGGGAGGAGATGATTTCACCATGTAGTCCATGAATCGTTCGTGGTGACTATTCATTGTGATGACAATAAGAGGCATAATAGCAACAAAAATTGATGTTGTCAGGATTATTTATCCATTTGTTCTATGTTATAAGGATTACTACAACCCCTACATATCTGGTACATACATTAATATATAATGTATTTATTATGTGGCTTAATCGCCCATCAGTCACACTGTGAGTCCCTAGAAAACCAAATTAGAAAAAGTCAACATTGGATAATAGAGATTAATATTTTTCACTTTAAAGAGGAAGACATCTTCATTGTCAGTAGTCAAAGTATATTGAAATGTGATGGAAAGAGGCAACAATTTCTCTGGAAGGACCAATCACACTTTTGGATATATTGAATGAAAATCATTTAAGTTAACCACTGACTGAAACAACGATCTCAACAATAGCCATTGTCATGATGCCAGCTCATCGTCATAGTAACTTCAAACAAAATGAACATTTTGAGGCAGCAAGTACCAGAAATATGGGCAGCAGTCATTGGAAGCATAATTATTATCCACCGTACACGGGAAGTGGTATGTATAGATAAGGGATGGATACTGTACAGTCAGAATGTCTAATCATTTTATTCCACACATTTTTCTCTTTTTTGAACTGGAAATCCATTTTTTCTAGGTGTTTTTTCTGCCTTTAGCCTAACCACAAGGCTATCAGGCCATTTCTTTGTGCTTTTTTTTTTTTTTTCAAAACTGTATCTGTTATTTGTGCTAGATAAATGATTTTACTTTGTTTTTACTTTTAAGGTCTTTGATGTGTTTCACATGTTTGACTGCTACTACCTGCATGTTTCTGTTGACATACTGTTTGATTTTATCTGCAATCACTTTTGTTAAGAAAGTTTTTTTTTCAATGCTTGTTTACTGGAATTATATTGGTGTTATAATAGTGTTATAAAAAATCTTTGGTATAGTTTTGAGACTGCTGTCATAAGTCTTATTCATAACTGCCTTTTGAAGACCTCCGATATTTCCGCTGGTGGAAACAATTGATTCTCTCGCTGTATTGATCCAAGATTTGTGATTGGCTTGATTTGTTCTCTCAAGGGAGTGTTTCACTCATTTGAACAAATCTCTGAAATCTGCAAAATTTACAATGACAAGTAATTAGTTGATTTCAAATCATTTATTTTTAAGGGTGTTCTCACTGGGAAACATAACTGTCCAGTGAATTTTGGGAACATGACAAAATAAATGAAGTGTTTCTTTTAAGTATGTTTTGATGAAATAATTTTAAAAAAGTGATTTGAAAATTCTGAAGAGCAACTTCAGTTTAAGTTAGTGTATTTGTTTTTGTGATATGTTGAAAATTTTCGAAATAACGACGAAACAGTCAATCATCAAATATACACTTTGAAAGAACGATTGGAAAATAGTGTGATTTCTGTAGGAGATTATTTTCTGTGAAGCAATTTTCCAGATTTTGACAGTCTTGGTTGAACACAATAACATACTGGCTGCTACCTCTTTATCAAGTTTCAGATGTGTTTACAAGAAAATTCCTTGATGGAATAACTAAGCATTTGACACAAAAAAAAAAGTCACCAGTCTAACTGTTGTTTGTTTGTCATCTATCAATATAGGGTTGGTGGTCTTCCTGATGTGTCCATAAATCCTGCTATTTGGGTATTGTATTTATGTCCCTCCTCCCTTGTGGATCTGTGTATTTTTGGTGCTTGCATTTTCAGGATTAAAAAAAAAAATCTTCTTTCATATCTGACCAATATATTTTCAACAAAAGTCCTTGATGGAAGAGAGAAACATCTAATATGTGGATCTATCATTGAAATTAAATAAAAACTTTTAAACAATGTTCATCATTTTTATATCAGTATCAAGAGTTTCTCGTTTTATTTTTTCAAAGGAGCAGTGTCCCAGATCCTGGACAGTCTAGAGGAGATCCAGTGCCTGACAGACTGTCACCTCAATGACACAGACTTCCTGGAGCGCATTTTCCAAGATCAGCAACTGCATGCCCTGCTGGAGGTAAGACCCAGAATGAAGAGTTTTCCCCTCTGCCACATAAATGTTATATCTGCGCATTTGTGGTCTTTACTCTCTTAAAGGATTTTTAACCCTCTGCCATATTGAGTGAGTGTATAGTGGGTTTTTTGTGTGATGATTGAATCCTTGGCCTCTCTTTATTGTTTATGTATATCAGTTCTGTAGAGGGTGGTAACAGTAGAGAATGTTCTAGGTGTGACAGTTTAGATTGTGTTGGGTGTGACACTGCAATTCTCCCCTTCTAGACAAACAGTTAATAAATGAAATGGCAGAGGGTTGATCTGTTTATTATTTTCTGAGACTAGGTCCCTTTTGTGTGAAGACCATCATTTTATTTTGGACCATTTATGATAATTAAAATCATGGCATAACCCTTGAAATGCAGACATGCTGAAACTGAAACTGTCATTCCTGTAAAGAAATTTTCAAGGACCAGCTTAATATTGTGGTCAGTCCATCTAAGGGATCGGTAACAATTTTAGAGGTGCCATTTTCAATATGCATATGACAAAACTTTCTTAGGTCCAGAAAATTTTCATAACAATGGGTCCTAATGTCCAGTTGTTTAAAAAAGTTTTCAGCATGTCTGGCAATGTGTTAGTGTGAAAATCCCAGTTAAATTGTGGTTTGGTGCCTGAATGAGGCCATTGGTATGACATATCTTGCTGTTTGAGTATGTGTATTATGTCTGATGTGATAGAGAAATTCAGTGTGGGGTTAACTGTCCCTTTCGTGCGTTTTTCAACCTCGTGGGAGTGGGTGATCTTCATCGATCACCAGCTGAAACCCTTCACTGAAAAGAAAGCAGTGGTAAGTGTTTGAAGAGGACAAGGAGACCATGTTCATGAACATCTGATTATTTCTGTATTTGTTCTGTAATGGCTGAAATGAATATTTTATTTTTAAACCATCCGTTTTCTTTCAGCAAATTGTTTTGTGCTCCTAGGTTTTTTATTGTGTTTAAAAAAAAAAAAAGAAAAAACAGCAGATCCATTGGGGAATATTCAAACAGGATTTGAATTTGAACAGAAGACTTAGTTCCAAGATAAAATTATCTGCATTATTTATTAAGATATCCTGATGAATATAAATGTGGTGTAATGTTAACACTGAATATTTCCCACGGTAGCAGTCTAAGTGGGCCCAACAATCATATTAATGCTATCATCTCAACCAAAGTTCAACCCTTGTTTCTTTCTCATTTGAAAATGACCCTAATGCATCCCTTCTGAAGGAAATTGTTCCTGTAATCAGGATGTAATATTGACTTTTTGAGATGTAATTTTACCAGGAGAGAGGATATGTGTCTATCTGTCTTAAGGCTATCTGTGGCATTTCACATGAAGTAACCCAGTTTGGAGCTGAAACCTGCTTCAAATGGCAACATGATGCAATTTAGAGGAGTGGAGTGTTCCAATAGAGGCATCCCGTAGCAGAATGCAAAATGATTTTTAGGGACAGATTTGATCTTTTGATTTATATACAATGGCAAAGATAGGGTTTAGGAGCAAAAGCAGAGAATTAATAACGTGTGTGTGTGTGTTTTTTTAATTTATTTTTTAATCACAGGGTTCAATTTTTACCTTTTTGTTCCCTTTATAGTGTCATAAAAAGAATATCATTTTGGGAAATTGGTCTATAGGATCCAGCATATTTTTATAATATTTTCCTGCTCCTAATCTCTCTGCAAACTTGACAGTGCCTTGTGAATATTTTGTCATTGTGATAGATGTACCTAATTGTGCATGGGTGAGACTAGACAAAATCTGAAGAACATCAATAATATAAAACCGTCCTGTAACATCACACCTTACTTGCAGACTATGACATCTTCTGGGAACTGTATTTTTGTCTTCCTATAAAAATGACTGCTTGATCTTCGGTCAGAAGATTCAGGAGAGGGATATTGGGTCTTGTCTTTGTGGGTATGATATATGATGGCTATTGAGTCCTATGTTTTCATTTCCCATTACCTGTGGAAATTGAGGCAGAAAGAAAGTTCAAGGGTGATTCATTTTAGCCTCAAATGTACCACTATATCTTCACGTAGATTGCTTCCGAATTCAAGGTTGCTTTGGGTTGCTGAAATCCTCAAGTCAGTTTTGTATAAGCTCACTGTAAAGTTCATCTTCGCCAGAAGTCTGACACAGTTAATCCCACCCAGTCAGCCCACATTAAGGCATTGGTCAACTCACAACAAATGCTGTAATCCAATTATTAAATATATGAGGTGAAACCAGTGGCCCCTGCGACCTATAGAAATTGTATTAAAAGCCTGCTGGTGGCACAGCGCTGCCTGATTTAACAGATTACTTCCAATATTTGGGAAAAGACAGGAGTAAGGGAATAGATTTGAGACAAGTATAAGGAATATGGTGAAACTTGGAGCCATGTAAAATGAAGAAATGAAGAATAAATTTGTAGTCAACATGTAGCATAGTATGAGAGAGAGAGAGGGAGAGAGAGGGAAAGTGTGTGTGTGTGTGTGTGTGTGTGTGTGTGTGTGTGTGTGTGTGTGTAAAAGAGAGAGAGAGAGGCAATTATAATGCATACTCCAGCAATAGTGTTAGATCAAAATTGTAGGTCTTAGAGACAGAAAATACCAACAAATTTTATGATATTTTATAATCAACAAGTCTGTATTATTTTATTATTCCTGGTCTGTTTGGCTAGGAGGGGCCAGCAGAGGTACAGGGTGTCCCCGCAGGCATGTTATTGTGAACTACGTAATACATAACACGTGAACCAGGTTAAATTGACCAATTGACCATGGTCCTCTCAGGACCTGGACACTGTGTCCTAGAATAGCTGGACATTACGGAGGTCAAACGGGGGTTGAAGACATGATTAAGTGTTAAAACGTTGATGCACGGTCAAAAAATGTTCAAAGATGTTTTGACCTGATTTGCAGTAATTTGGAGTTGTGGTTTTTGATAGCCTGTAAGTCATCAAAGCTTATTGAGAAAATTGCAGAATCTGATGTATTTTCTGCCCAAGTTGTAGTATTTCATGTGAAATATTTGTTAAAAACTTGGACTTGAGGTGTTGCAATTACTGGACACAGCGGAAAGAAAAACTCCAGATGCTTAGGATGCACTTTGACTGTTGAATATGATTTCTGTTGAAGTTGCATGCAGAACTGCAAGATATCATTATGGGGTGAGTGTTATTTTTAGCTTTATGATATGGACTAAACAGCAAGAAAAAAAATTCTGAGTTCAAGATAAAGAGCCAGACAAGTAGGATTTATAAATATTTGTGAGTTAAGATTTATCGAGGACCCTATGAAGTTATCTGTAAAAGATCTCAATTTGTCATGTGAAAAGAAATGATGCTCTATCAAAAAAAAAAAAAAATCTAAAAAAGACCAAGTGTTTTTTTTTTCTTTTTTTTCTAATTTTATATAACAGAGGGATAATGCAAAATAACTTAAAAGATACCAAACGCTCCATGCCTTTTACCAATTCAAGCAGGAGCAATGGTTATATAAGAAGCTCCATTGGAACGAGTGCACTCCATTCTCAGACTGGTTTCAGCATCTGGGGCATAAAAATGGGCTGTGGTAGACATATATTAGCATCTAGCCTAATACCTCTGGACGTGTTGTACATAATTTGATTTGCCAAAAATAAACATATCGCCTCCTAACAAAGTAAACAAGGATTAAAAGAAAAGTTGACTTTTGTCCTCAGTGGACAAAAGATGGCGGCTGACACCCATTGGTGTCTAATCGGGGGAAACTGTTTTATTGAATGTTGCCGATTTCTTTGAAATTAAATGTCAGATTTTGGTATTCAGTTGGGTAGTTTTTCATAAAAATCAAAACCAAACGGGTTAGCTGTGTGATTTTGTTGATTTCTGTCTGAGCACGGAGTTGTGCTTGCTATAGGGTTGATCAGGTTCGTAGTTGGGGGTTGGGGGGGAAGGGGGGGGGCATATATATTTTGACAGTTTTTGATGCTGTGTGAGGGCCCAAAAGTGTCCAGAACTGATAGTGGATAAATTGATTATTTATATATTTCATTGAAATAAGTCACAACTCTTTGAAAATCCATGTATGAGGGTCTAGAAGTGGCCAAACTGAGTGGATAAATTTACATAGATTATTTATATATTTTATCGAACTTGGTCACAATTTGTTGAAAATCCAGATAATTATTAATACAAGGAGTGAAAAGAAGAAAAAAAAACATTTTCCACTCTCACATCTTTAACGATGAAAATGCACAGTTTAATTGTTAGCAATTACAGATATTTAAAAGTGTAAAGCACCCAAACACTTTATAGGTCTGCAGTAGCATGGTCCCAGGCTAAATGGATTTTGATTTAGTCAGTCAGAAATGAATTTCTTTAACATTTTCTTTTTTTACAGATACAGTTGTCAACTCAATATGTGGGAGTTTACTTGGCAGTATGACTGTTAGGAAATAAGTGGATTTGGATTCTGACCAACATTGGTTCCTTGTGGAATATATAGTATAACTCTCTGTTGCTAGACTGTCTATAAAACTCAGAAAGGATTTTCCAAAAAAAAAGGGAAAAATAAAAGAAAATACACATAACAATCATGAAGATGGAAAGAAATGGAAGGAAAATGTCTCGGAGTCTCCCAGGTATTTTAGAACTAAAAATATCACTTATTAGTTCTTGATTACTTTTTAGTTGTATAAGATGGCAAATGATATTTTGCGGTCTGAGAATTAATCAGTTACTAGAGGATTATCATCTTAATCATATCTTACCAACCTCAACTTGGCAATAGATCAGTTAGTCAAGCCACACTGACCTTGACACTTTGCCACAATGACCTTGACATAATTGACCTTGACCTTGTGCATAACCTTGGCTAACATTCACAGGAAGTGACTAACTGGATTTCACAGTTAACATTTCTATTGGATTCAAGATAATTGAACTAACATTTGAATAATACCTTATTTGATTGGTAATGCTCCTTCATCTTTTACTCATACCTTAGATTA